GGTTCCATGCTGGTAATGTGTGAAGGGATTTTGATATCTCACTGACTGCTTGTTTCTTTGGGACTGTTCATATAAGTAAGGATTTTTAGGAATTGTAAATCCTTTAGAATGCTTTAAATCCTTCCAAGAGTTGCTAGATTCCACAGGGTGCATATAACTAATTATCATAATTACTTTTTAAGCTGATATTTGGGTGATTTTTTTAAGAGACATTTTCTTTCATATATTGTTACTACACTAATAAAAAAATGGTTTGTTCAGGTTTTTTGGCATCAGTAATGTGCTTGTCTTTGTTGCCATTTACTTAAGTGCCCACGGAAGAAAAATAAAAGTTCAGCTGACAGGAAAACAAGAAAAGGTCCTGGGGGCGTCCTCTCCTCTGATTCTGTAAAAGAGACCTTCGTCTTCTTTTATCATATCTCCCTCCAGAACTAGGCCTGTGTGAGTAGGCAGCTATTCAATCCGGCTTCAGATCTGGCCACTTTGGATGCCAGCAATCTGATCCGAAGCTCCGGACCGGGTTTCCGCTTCGATCCAGCTTTGGAGCCACCTCGGAGATCTGGCCATGGGGTATAATGGGGAAATCAATGAAATATCTATAACTTTGTTGTTTTTTGTCTGATTTGGATGAAACTTGCAGGGGTGGTAGCCTCCGCTGAGAGCATGAAGCCTACCAAGTTTCAAGAAGATCAGTGCAGGGGTTCGGGGGAAACTGCACCCCAAATTCTTGAAAGCAAAACTCATGTCACATGTATGTTACACCACAGGGGGGTGAAAACTGTAGGGGTGGTGGCCCCTGCTGAGGCCATGAAGCCTGCCAAGTTTCAAGAAGATTGGTGCAGGGGTTTGGGGGAAACTGCACCTCAAGCTGCAGACAAGCAAAACTTGTGACATGGGTGACACTGTGTGTTAAGGCGCAGTAGGGTGAATGCTGCAGGGATGGTAGCCCCTGCTGCAGCCACGAAGCCTGCCAGCTGTCAAGGAGATAGGTGCAGGGGGGTTCTGGGGCCCTGCACCTCTAGCTGCTGACAGACAAAATTCATGACATGGGTGCTTGTGCAACTGACTGTGTCTGTCTTGGGGCAGCTGATTGTCTGTATTGATTATTTCCACCACCCCTGCAGTTTTCACCCCCTTGTGGTGTAACACACACATGTGACATGAGTTTTGCTTTCAAGAATTAGGGGTGCAGGTCCCCCTGATCCCCTGCACCAAACTTCTTGAAACTTGGTAGGCTTCATGCTCTTGGCAGAGGCTACCACCCCTGCAGGTTTCATCCAAATCAGAAAAAAACAACAACGTTATAGATATTTCATTTATTCCCCATTATACTCTATGGCTGAATTGGCTCTGAATCTTTTCCAAAGTGATTCAGAAGCTTTGAATCGATTTGGAAAGCCTAAAGCATCCAGCGATTCGATTCAGATTCATAGATTCGGCCTCTGAATCATCTGAATCATCTCTGAATCCAAATCATGATCCGAAGCTTTGCACGGCCCTATCCAAAACCCTCATAGAGCAAGCTCCTTTCCATCAGAATAGGGCTGATTACACATCTTTCTCTGGAGCCAGTGAACACTATTCCATACACTGACCAAGAGAGGAGCTGAAGAGTGACAGAGCAATTCTCCTTCCCCACCAGGTTGGTGCAGTGCATTGCCAGTTCTGCAGTTCCACTCCCCGCTAACCTGGGTGTACCCCGTTGGGTACATCTGGGAAGTGGTGTCAACATATTGTTAGAACACAATGTAAGACATTTCTTCACATAATCCTTCCCTCAGCAATAAAGCCTAACTTTATTCCTGGATGTGAACAAGTCAGAATGCCCCTCTCAAAAAAGAATTTGGTCCTTTGGATTTGTGGCTGTTCTTCACTTGCATATTTGGCACCCAACTACTAAGGTGATAGACATGTTAAAATCCACAGTCCTTGATTAGATTCCCCTGTTCACTTGCAGTTAGTCATCAATGCAAGTTTATTTTTTTATGTTTTTAATTCTGTACACGTACTTTAGATAAAATTCAGCTGCATTAGACATTTATTTATTTGTGAATATAAAAGTTGTTGTGGGATAACACTGTGTATTAGTGTGAACTTCGAGGATATGAGTCAGCCTGTGGACTATGTTGCATAGTCTGCAGTAATCCTTTGCAAAAAACACAGAACATTGATTAATGTTTGCTGAGACTTTATTTTCATTAATGCATTAGGCAATGTCTTGGATGTTTTCAGTTTGCTGATGATACAGCAGAAGGGAAAAAGTTAAGATTTGTTGCTTACAGTTCCTTTAACAAGCACATCTCTTAAATGTGACACTATATCTTGGTGCTGATGATGCAAAACAGAAGAGGAGCAGAAAGAAAAGTCATTTTTAAGATTCCAGGTCTATACCAAAGAACAAGCATTGGCAAAGTGGAGGCCATTCCATTCACAAACTGCTTTTGATGCTGCTGGCCCTCAGAGGATCTGCATGCTTCAAAGGTTGTGCAGTCTCAGAGCCCACTCCTTGTTCTCAGGGTATTTATTTCTAACCACAAGCTATGGAATGTCTCCATACCTACCCTAATTCACCCCATTTCCATTCCCAGTCCACTGTCATACCTAAATCATTACTTATACCTGACACATGTAAGTAAGGACTCACTCATTTAGGCCTCAAAGAATCTGCCAGAGGAGCAGACTTTTCACTAGCTTATCAGTTGTAGTTCCTCCACATAAAGAATGTGAATTTATGCGGCTTCTTTGAGCTTCTGCAACCGGGGCCATGGAGACCTGACAACTTATTAGCGTCTGCTTTCCTAGCCTAGCTGGTACTCAGTGAGTAGGGAAGAGGAAGCTTCCTGTCCAGACTTCTCACTTAGGGGAGCCCCTCAAACTGCATATATCAGTAGATAAAGCTTACACATCCAGTACGCATCAAGGGAAAGAATGTCTACTAATAAAATGCTCCTGCCTATAGCAAGGAAGGCAATAAAACTATATGGTTGAGTTACTGCAACCTAAGGACTACAGAAACTTCTGAGTTTTGTGGCCTAGTAAGAAGGGGACAAACTCTAGTACAAATAGTGAAGCACAAGTCAAAGGAAAATGACTATATAAGCTTTTATTTCCCTGAAAAGTTTTGAAACTTTTGTATGAAATTTATTATTTTGTACTGCAATATTGACCAGATGCCCTGGGTAGAGACTAGTATGGCTATCATAGAGGACAGTCCAGTTTTCTGCTACTCTGTCCTCTACTGATATGAAACCGGACACATTTATGTCCTCTATTTTTCTTGAAGAGAAAAAGTCAGTCAGTCTCTATGGCCACCTCTACACATTACAGGTATTGTAAAATTACTTCTGTCACAACCCAAAGGGTGTGATTTTGTTTTTGTGTGCTTCGGCACTGCTAAATTGTTCCTGCTAAATTATAGCTTCTTTGCACGGTGGAGTTTTCTGCTGCAAAAGAGAACCCAGGTGCAAGGGAGAATTTCCCGCCAATTTGAAGCTTTCTTTGCAGGGTGCATTTCTTTGTTGCAGCACAGAAATGCTCGTTGCAAAGAGTTCCCGCCATTTGTATGCTAATTCGAGTCCCATTATTGGCCAGTTCTAAATTATTCACACGTAGCGGCTAGTGATTGGCTTGCTAGCTGTATAAAAGGCTTGAGTGGTTTCCGCCCAAGTTGGAGGACTCGACAAACACCGGGAGGAGGAGACTTCACGCTGTGTGAAGATCTCTAAGTGCTGCGGATCCCTACGGACCCAGCGCATTTCAAGCAGGCAACAGAGGTCTGATCAACCTCTAGCCTCTCCCCATCGTCGATCGCAGCCTAGATGTATCCCTTCCTGCGCGCAAAAGAACCGAACCCATGGAGCCTAGCAAACTTCGTGTGAATCCTTGACCGATCTCGTACCCTCGTGCCCTGCAGGTTCGAGTTTTGTTTTGTTGTCTGTCTGTAACCACAACTCAAGCAAGTTTTCCAGCCTACACCACTGCCATCTCGGTGTAAGTAAACAATCTTTTAAACTACTGCTACGCGTTTGTGCCTAATTCCAGCTCGACGGCCTTCCCTCTCCGACCCGGCGTGCCCGGGCTGCTGGCCACAGCCCGCGTGCAGCACAGAAAAGGGCTCGGGTTGCTCCCGGCCCGCACAACTTCAAGACAGCTACAAGTGCAAAATAGCTATCACACAATAAAAAGTTCCAACCAGCTATAAAGTTAGACCTCAAAAAAGTGTACTAACTTTACAACTGGTTGCTATTGAGCTTTAATTTGCACATGTAGCGGAGTCTCCTCTGCGGTTGGGACTCTGTCAGCTGACAGTACTCCCAGCTGCAGGAGTACACCTTGCCCAGCATGAAAGCCCCTAATCCTGGGGATTGCAGCATGAGCCCCAAGGCTTGGGGGTGCGTGAAACCCTCAGACCATGCAGGGCTCTTGGCCACCACTATGCCTCACACAGCTGGGACCAAGAGATCATCCAACTGATGAGGATCCTGGTCCCCACTTCACCTCACCCACAGCTGGGACCAGGAGCCTCATCCGTTACAACACTGTGAGGCACAGTCAGGACTGGGAGCCTCAGTCGCAGGGCTCTCGGTCCCAGCTGCATGTGGCCCTGGTGGCTGGGAGCCCCCTCAGCAAAGGGGGGCCCAACCATGGGAGCCTGCTTCTTGCCAGTGCAGGGGTACCCACAAACAGGCAATAAGGCACAATTGACTCTAATGTGGCTCACATGCGCCATGGCAGGAGATGTGATTGTGTGGATCACACATTAGATCCAACCATACCTTTACCTGCACATGTAGAGGCGGCCTGTAGTGCCACCCTGCCTTGCCTTCTGTCTAAAGTCAGGCTAACACAGCTAACTACCTCTGTCTCAGAGTTTACAATATGAGTACTTGACTTGGATAGCTCATATTGTTTTGAAATTTATTTCTAGAATCCAAAACCTTTGAACATTTTATTCCAGTTGAGTAAAGGAAGGAAGGTAGGAGACATTTTCTCTCCTTGAAAGTCTAGTATAGACATAGTTTTTGTACAATAACACTTGCACGATATTTCATAGAACACCTACACATGTTTCATAATATTTTAGATGTTCTGTAGAATCCCAAATGTCTCCACTCCTTATTTGTTATTGTATACTAGGGGACAACATACAAGTCAAATGCCCCACATTTCTGGTGTAACAGAAAACACTAGATTATGCTTAATCATACAAAATAACTTAGAATTCACTGTCTCAAATCACTGAAAAATTATTTTAGCCTACATAGACCAGATTCTTAGCTGATAACCAAGCAAAAGTCCACATAGCTATGCTCTAGTTTTTTTAAAAATATAGGTTCTTATAACATGCTTCTCACAATATTTTTGAGAGCCTTCTAGTCATTATTCAACTTGACTAACATTGGTCATGTACCAAGACAGTAACTTAATACATTAAGCCACTGCTGTGATGAATTATCAAAGATATAGTCTATTAAAAAGTCCAAGACTTGAAAAAGGCAGTCAGTATAGAAACATGCCTGCCTCCACTTCTTGTAGCTACAGAAATATATGTATATTACAATAGCATATATGTGGATGCTGTCAGGTGAGCACCTACAAGGTGTTGATAGTGCTTTGTTTTTTTTAATTGTTCTCCCCTACACCTTACCCCTGGATGGAGAGGTATAATTTAGCCTTTGCTATCCTGCTTTCAGTAACAACCTACCCTTTTGGATTTTCAGATCAGTGTTGCCAATTGTTATTGATAACTATATTAGACATAATACTTGGAGTTTTCCTTAAATTGCCACTTCTTGGAGTCATCTGATTACCTAAGGGTCTTAGGTTTCTTCTTTTTGTTTGAAAAAAGTCAGTGTCTAGTACTTGTGGAGAATAGCTTGAAAATTTGAACCTCAAACTCAACTAACACACATATGGAATCCCAAATTTATTTCTATATATATTTACCAAATCTTCTGCTCTTTTAAGCCAAATCTCATGGAGGCTTAGCTTTCTGGAGGCTTAGCTTGTGATTTTGGAACAACAGACACTGGCAATATTGAAATGCATTTTGACAGAGCCCCGCATTCCCAGTTGGAACTTCTCTTCAGTCAACAGCATATACAAGACCTGCATTGTTTCATTTTGCTTAATTTTCTGTACAGATTCCTTCCTCCTCGTGATAAAGTGGACATGCAAGACAGTTTTGATCTTACTAGTTTTACACCTGTTCACCAACTGCAAGAGAGCTGCTCTTGATTCCCACCAGCAGGAGCTCAGAATTAGCCCGAGTCTTCTCTTGCCCAATTTGTAGTGGCCTTATTAATGATCCAGCACAGGCATCAGTGACATATTTCCTCAGCTGAAATTCTGCAAATAAATGGAAAGTCTTACCAACTTATTCTTCTTACAGCAAAAATCTGTCTAGAAACCCCTTGAGGTACGTGCTTTCTAGCATAGCATTTGCCACCTCTGAGGATTGTGCAGAACAAATGGTGGCGGTGGTAGTGGTGGTGGTATTTGTCAGGTGGATCCATGAACGCCTTCAAATAAAATGGCTTCCATAGTCTGATTTGAACCGGTGGCCCAACTTTTCTTTTTTATCGACTACCCTGTCTTCAGCTCATTTACTTTTTCCAAACCCTCCCTCCTCTTTTCTTTCTTTGCTTTCTTGCCCTCGTCATCTCTCCCTTCCCTTTCATCATTTTCTATATTTGCACCACCTCTTTCCTCGCTATTCTTTTATTTCTGTCATCTCTCAGATATCTTGCCTTCCTTACCCCTCTGATGGATCCTTTGTCTTTCTTTCCCATCAGTTCTTGACAACTTTCCCTTTTAGTTTCCTTCTTTATCTTTTTATTTTAAATATTTTTTCTAGTCATAGTGTGTTTTTCCCTCTGCTCTCCCATATTAGAATATTAAAGATCGTTCCTGTTCCTCTAAAGGGGGAAGAAACTTTCAGATAAATATCTTTATCTTGCTCCTGAGTCCTATGACAACACTCCTTTTTAATATGGCTATTGCTGCATATAAAATGTGTAGCATTACAATAGTTAAATCCTCTACTTCCTCTACCTGCCAAGTTTTCTTACAGTACATCTGCTTAGCTAAATTCACCAGCTTTTTCTGTTTAAGACTGATAACTGTGTCTCACAAATATATCTCAAGAACACTGGCAATTAAGGAACAGTGAATATAAGGGATGATATATATGTGTTTCTTAAGGACTGTTTTTTTAGATATATGGATCAATCTGTCTGGACTGGTTTAAGAATAATGAATCCTGTATCCTGTGAGGGATTGGCCTATATGATCCTTGAGGTCCCTTCAGACCCTGCAAGTCTATTAATACAAACAATTAATTGCAACTATTTCACACCAAAATTTGAGATATCCTGATTGCAGAAGTTATATGATATGGTTTCTGTGCCCTGACTGGATGAGCCAAATGTTATAATCTGGGTTTAATTAAACTACTGGTTGTTTTTTTAGTAGCTTGGGTCTTGGAATGAACTTCACATTCACCTCAAATGATGTACATGTTTTGTGCTGGTCTTCTGCACAGGGAAAGGCAGCAGAACAAACAAAATTGGGAATTTTTGGAGAATGTCCTTTCAGGTTGCACTGAAGGAAGTAGCAGTGCTAAAAATCTTCAGGCATTGTACATTTATTAGTTGGGTGCAGAATATACATGTACCTTTACTTGGTCATATTCACACAAACCATTTCAGTGCACTTGCACAATCCTAGTTATGAAGGAAGAGGTTTTCAGCTAGCTCTTTGTTCCTGGATCCTGCCAAGGTTTTCTAGAAAACCTGTCTCTCTGCTTTATTCTCCGGTAAATAATATGTGGTAAGAGTGGACATCCCATCTGAACACAGCACTTCTGGTGCAATTAGTTGAATGTGAATGCCCAGAATTTGCTGCTTACGGGAACTAGTGTAGATAGAATAATGCTGCATGAATGCCAACAGCAAGTAAACAGAGGAATTGCAGTCACCTTAATGAAGCACATTCAGTTTTAAAATTTAAGTAGGTATTTGAGAAGAAGTGGATGTTTTTGGTCTCAACTGAATCTTGTAGTGTATCTACACTGCACATTGATCCGTATTAGGATTCTTCCTCCCATTTGAGCCTTGACTGTTCGCCCTGGTGTCGACAAAGGTACGCACCTAGATTCACTTGTCCCAGATCCAGATACTGGACATTTAGCCCAGATGGGGACCTATAGGAAAGTGAACTTTTACCACATATTATTTACTCAAAGAATGTTGAGTTAACTGTCATGGTGTCTTTGAGGCTATATCTTCTGGTCTGCAGTTGATCTTGCTATCATATACCTGAACTGTTGCTGTTCAACTTAAGCTTCCCAGAGATGCTTGTTGAATTCGGTATACTGCATACTTCGAAGTAATCATGAAATTTCCATTATCACTGTCTTCATGCTTCTCCATGTAGTAGCAAGTATCTGGTCCATTTTCTTAGTGAATTACAGTCTCTGAGCCATGCACCATTAAAGCTAAGTTCCTGTCATTATTTAGATGCATAAACTTATCTGTTAATGTAGTCACCCTTTTATAATTTCTGTTCTTCCAATCAGTTTATTCTGGTATTTGTTCTTGTTCATTTTGAGCTCAACTAGGCAATTTCAGCCAGAAACTGGAGTTCTTCTCATTTTTATTGTTTGTGATCAGCTGCTTATTGTTATTTGCAAATGCGAAAGGAACTGCTACTCCGCTTAGTAACTGAATGTAACTTTACTTCACAAACTTTCCATTCCCTAGTACAAGGGGCACATAACACCTACCTATTTTATTTTTTTTCATGGTTTACCAGCATTCACTTGTCTCATAACTGATCAGAAATGGAAATTCTGCTTATAATTTGTCTCATCTTTCTGGCTCTGTCTATACTACATATTTTAATGATTTTTATCCATTTATTAGAATTATTGGTTCCAAACCATTATTTTGTAATGATTTATTAGAATGACCGATTTTTGTCCATATGTAACATGGCTGAAAAAACATTTTCACTAAACACGGTCTATTACTTCTCAGCCCCATCTGAACACTATATGGTTGGTCTTTCTGTAACGGGGTGTGGATTTTCTGTTTTATTGTCTACAGGAAAGACAGGTCACCGTAAGTATGCCTGTGAAACCAGTTTGTCTAGTAAGACTCCTCCCAGTTCTCTGTGTGATAGGGAATTATGGAATGCGTTGTACCACATGCTAATGTTACTGTTTTATGTACTTAGCCTCCAGATATTCTTTCCTATGCCGAGGCAGTAATTTTTCAGATTTTTCCAGAATACCCTTCTCAAATGCATCCTAAAGAACATGCAATTGCAGGGGGGGGGGGGG